TGGTGGTAGCACTTGAATGAATTATTATAGTTGGTAGTACTTATTGTTGGATTGGCAGTGTCGGTAGCAGTGGCCGAGGACTTATACAAGCTGATCCTGCCGATTGGAGATGTGCCCAATCTGGCTTTCCTGGGCCGCATTCTCTCCACTTGCGACATTGTTACTTCTTTCGTGCAAGCAGAATGGTTAGCTTGCCTTCTGGCTGGCAAGTTCATGTGGCCATCTTCCTCGCAGAGGGCGATGTTTTCCCGGAAGTACCGAGCATGGCGCCTGACCTTTGCGCCAAAGGCATCATCCACGTTCCTGGCGACGCCATCTGTTCATTCATATTTTGATGAGCTGATCTCCGACATTTGCGAGTGTTCAAGAGGAATGCCTGCCTCTTGCCTGTCAAAGTTCCTGGAACAGTTCCTCCCTTTGCGGGCTGGCAGATATGCAAAGCTGCGGCAGAGGATTGCAGTGGACACGGAGGACACTTTGCTGTTCAATCATTGAATCTGCCAAAAGTAGAGGGCTCGTCCTTGCAGAGTTTGCTTGCAATTCCTCGTCTAACTAAGGCAAAGAGCTCCTCCCAAGTGGTCGCCCTCCGAAACTCGCCGGCTGCTCCATCCAACGTGTAAACCTTCCACAAAAAGTTGAGACCTTGCTTGGCTGGTGCTAGTGCTCTCCCAATTCTGGTCTCTGGTCTCCCAGCTCACACAGCCTCCACAGCTCCAAGCCCGACAGCGCAGATGCGGTCCGCAGAAGGAACACGAACGCTCAAATGACGCAGCAGTGGCAGCGTGGACGGCCTGTCAATGAGGCTTCAGAGGCCATGGCTTTTGGAAAAAAACAATGCAGCAAGTACGCCCGGTGGCACTTATCCCTGCAAGCGGAAAAAGTGGCCTCAACCGAGATGACATGACAATTTCAACCTCCGGTCAAGATGAGGTTGTGAGCGTGCCTGCGTTCTTCAACGACAGACAGCGCAGCACAGCTGCATGCAGCATAGTCAGAGCCCATTGCGCGGTTCGAGACTAAAGCCGCTCCCATCAGTCTTCTTACATAAGTTGCCAGCATGTTTTCCGACTGGGGGTTTCGGTGCTTGGTATGCAGCTAGGTGTTTGCTCGTGTTGGATCCTATCGGGTGCTTGTTCTCTTGACGAAGTTATGCTACAGTGTCTCAAAGATTGATTACGATCAGGCAAAGCCGTGAAGAGCGCTGCAGCTCTTGCGGGTCTTGAGAGCCGTCCTCAGCCAATGCAACGTAACCTTCTTGAAGCTTGAGGCAAACGCACCTTTGAAAAGTTTGCTGGACTATGCAAGGATTCTGCGAATCATCAACGAGCCAACCGCAGCAGCTGTAGCGTACGGCTTTGCCGCTTGCTTCAAAGAAGCCTGCACGTTTATCAATTTAATGCCATAATATGGAAGGAATCTTACAGATGTAATCAGCTTTTCCTCAGCTTGTCTGCCTTAAATACTCGTAAATCACGGCGCAGAATGCGTTGCTGTCCTAGGACAAGAAGGACGAGGAGCGCACACTGGGCAACTTTACTAGTTTCCCTTCGTCTTGTTGTCTTGACATGTTGATGCCCGCGGCTGGCAATTGGCAAGCCATGGAGTTGTCAGCGGTGCGCAGGAGGTCATGCTGGTTTTTGATCTTGGTGGTGGTACCTGTAGCTCTGGCAGCAGGGAAGCTGCATGGGCTGCATGTTGAAGAGCTCATGACATCAACAGCCAAGGCGATGTATCGGTGCTTAAGACAGGCTCCGATGGAGTGCTGCAGGCTTGACTCAAATGTCATTCTTGTGTTGTAGGATTCATGGCATTCTAGGTATTGGCAACCAGTGGAGATCCGCGGCTGGGCGGTGAGGATTTTGATCGCAGGGTGACCTTGCACCTGAAACTCATCTGCAGCCACAGATGGTTTACATGGTTTGCACATAGATGCATGCGAGTGTGATCAGCAGCGCGGGCTAGACAGGGTTTACCACGTTCGGGATGTTCAAGGAGCAAGTGCTCAATGCCCCATTCTACGAACCCATTGTTTTCTGGAGTTGGAAAGCGCCAGCCCAGACAACAAGAGCGTCCACATGCTACTTACCAGCTGCGGCATTAATGGAAAACATCAAGGATTCAGGAAGGCCACAAAACTTGAATGGAAGAATGCGGAGCTGTTAAACAAGTAGTTGGATATCGTTCGTGGTGTAACGAGTAATCAAGGGCTTGCTCTTGGCTCCCTGCATGGTTTGATCAGGACGTCATTGCCAATCAAGTCCTAAGGACAAGTAGTTTCCAGAAGAAGTTCAGCAAGGCAGGAGGATGAGCATGAAGCACAGGTGTAAATTCAATCTACCTGACAGGACATTTCTTCTGATCCACAAGCACTGGAACGTCTTCGTGTGGAAGTGGAGAAAGTCTGGGGCATGATGCAATTACTGCATGCTACTAGAAGCTCTGGTGAGCTGGCTTGACTTGTTTGCCACAGCCTTTGTCAGCCTACAGGCCAAGAGAAAACTCAGCACAGTGCCACAGGCGCACAGCCTAGACCGACATCATCCGACATCCATTTGGAGTAGACCCCTCCCCACTGTCAAGAGGCCACCATCAAGGTTGACTTTGGTGATGCTCCGCTGACTGAAACGCTGCGCCTCATCTAGTTGTGAGAGTGCTGTCCTCCTGGCTCAGTGATCTGAACCAGCCCGTGCATGTGATGGGTTAAGGACACGCGCGCAGTTTGAGAAGCTTAATGACGAGCTTTTCCGAAGGAGCCCTGCATCGGCTCAGAATGCTGGCATGTTGTAGGGGCGGTTTGTGCAAGAGGACCCTCGAACCTGTACAAGCGGCCCTGAAAGATGCAGGGCTGCACAAGTCCGAGGTTACGACAGCTCCCCGTCTGCTTTGATATGAAATGCTTGTTCACGTCTGCGCGCCCATGGGACCAACATGGGGCCAAAGGTCATACTTGCTGGCGGCTCATCTCGCATCCCAAAGGTTCAACAAATGCTGAGCCAGCTTCCTGCCAAAAATTCGGCAGTTCCGCAGCGTCTCGGTGTGTATTGCCCTTGCTGGTCTTCAGGTTCTTTGATGGGAAGGAGCTCCCTGCCTTCAATCAGCGTAAAGTCTTCAGCGAAGAGTGCAAGGATAAGGAATTCTGAAGGAGCCGATTTGTTTGTTACGATGTTTCTTTTTCAGCCCTGAGGCTGACGCGAAGAATCAATCCTGATGAAGTTGTTGCCCATGGTGCCGCGATAGAGGTCTTTCTCCTTGCTCCTTCGCCAATGGACAGCTGTGTGCACTTTGAAGCAGGCTGCGTCCATGAGCTCCGACGAAAGCATGGAGGAGTTTTACTTCCTGACTGAAGACATGCCTTCACATCATATCTCGCTGACAGTACGACGGCCTGATAGACGTCATTCCGCTTTCGCTTGGTCTTCAGACTGTGCAGACCCCAGACCTCTCTGTTTGTTTATTGCGGGGTTGCTAGTGCTTGAGTCCTCAGGCTGGAGGCTTCATGACTACTGTCCTCAGTCGAAATACCCAGTTGCCAGCAGAGCACTCGCACCTCGGTCTCAAGGAATTTCTTTAAGCATCCTGTTGAGGGGCAACACTTCTAGATGCTCGAGCTTAGGATGCTCTTCTCCACACACAAAGATAACCAGGACCAGCGAATGGCGTGGATGTCAACGGGCAAGAGAACTTGCTTGCTTTCTCGCAAAGTGCAGGACTTGGCGACGGTCAAAGTCTTCCAGGGCGAGAGACTGATGGCAACACGCTCAAATAGCAGCGTCATGGTCGCTGTGTGGTTGTTGAGTTGAGCCATGTCCAGCGGAGGCCCGCAACAATCACTTCCTGGGAAGCTTCCAGATCAAAGGCTGGCAGAGATCAGTTATGCAAAGCGGCTGCCAATGAGTTCGAGGCATAACCCCGGCTCCAAGAGGGGTTCCGCAGATTGAGGTCTCTTTCAAGGCAATTTGCAGCGCAAGCCATTGCCTTTGTTTTCTTTCACCGTGTGGTCACACTGGAATTCTGGAGGTAGATGCCAGCGGCTTGCTTGCAGTGGAAGCATCCGAAAGGGACTCTGGCAAGCGGAGCCTGGCTTCCCAGCAAAACAGCGGCTCCATCAAGATGCAGTCGCTCCATCTTGTGTACGCGTATGTTGCTGTGCAGTCCACTGGTCTAGATTCTAGATTTTGTGGCATGTGTCTCAAGATGCAACAGCCAGTTGCCTGTTGCTGGAGGCGCGCTTGCCATTGAGCAGGACCGCTTCCTTGGTGCAGAGCAAATTCAGGAGTCCCTCAAAGAGGCGACGAAGTCGACCATTTGCCTGGGGCAGATTACTGGCACGTCGTACGGCTCAATACCCGAAAGCCAGGCAGATAGTTTCGCCAAGGATGACCAAAGAGATTTCGCACAGGCCGAGGTGCAAGAAGTAGAACAAGTCCATTGGCCAGGTGGCAAAGCCACCCTGCTGCAGGCGCGAATGGCATTGAAAGCCTTGGTTCGGTCACTGCATTCGGCAGCAGAGTTTGCATCAGAAGAGGCTCGGCACGCCGCTGTTTGTGTTCAGGGTGTTCCTGGGAGTTTGCGCCAGGATGCTGGCATCTTCTTGGAAGCTGCTGGGGAGGGCAAGGAGAGCGGGATCTTCAAAAAGTCTTTTTCTAATCAACGAATCGTGCTCCTTGGCTAGGACTGGCTCACAGCCAATCCGGATGCCGAAGCTGAAGAGATACACGAGAAGCGGGAGGAAGACAAACTTGGTTGTCCTGGCACTTGCATGAGCCTGCTGTGCCAGGAGTTGGAAGCAAACGTGCCGGACCTTGCTCTGAGGCCTTCTGCAGGTGCCACCACAGGTGGTGGCGAGCTTGACATGGACCCTCGCCCCGCAAACAAAAACCATCAATCTCAAAGCGCGCGACAGAGTTTCTGCATGGCCTGAGGAGGGCCACGATGAACTGTGAGAGCGGGATAGCAGTACGAGTTAATGTGTTGATGGTTCATCATGGTTCACCGGCTTGTAGGTCATTCTGACCACTGATCACACAAAGGAGATTCAGATCAGCGCGTCCGAGCCAGTTTCGAGCCATATGAATCACGGCAGACAGTCTGGCACAAAGTCTGTCAAAGACCGATGCTGTTGGGTTGTATTGTGTCTGGAAAAGAGCTGCTGATCTGCAAACTCTTGATCGAGTCAGTGCTTTTATTTTTCTCACAGACTTCAACATGGGCTCAAGATGGCACTGATCATGAATGTGGGCCCACATTCCAGCCTTTTCATGCTCGTATGCCAAAACATTACATTCAGAGGATCGCTTTCAACTCTCAGGACGTTTGCCAGTTCTTTTGACACGCCGGGGCCATGTGTGCAGGCACTTCGACTACCCAAGAGGCGTTGATCCCATGCATGAAGCGGCGCTGAAGCTGTGACTACCCATGTTGGCAGGAAAAGCATGTGGCACCTGCTACGTCTTCAGATGCTGGAGACTTTGGGTTGTCCACAGTTCGAGTGCCCCGAAAAATCAAAGCATACCATTGAGGCGGTGCGCTTTATTGCTTTCCTGCGATCCATGGAGGCTCGGAAACCCTCCTCGTGCTCGTTCTGCTATGTGACTGTGGTTCTTCGCAAGAAGCTATACCAATGAACAGGGCGCTTTGATGCTTTTCACAGACAGGAGCAGTTCCATTACCGTGGAGCTCTAGCCACGGTCGGCGGCGTTATGGTGCTGGCAGGCGGTTTCATCCAATTTGCATGACAAGGTCTTCCTTAGGTCCCAGCTGAGCAGTTTGGGGCCACTTGCTCCATGGTGCTCAAAGCTTGAGCCAGGTCATTCAGGTAAAGGATGGTCCAAAGCCGTCCCCAACATTCATTGTGTTGCTTTCACATGCGCTGGGATCAACAGGCAGCAGACCAGCATTTCTGGAAAAGAAGATGAATCGAAACAGTGATCTGCCGGAAGCATCTCATCAATCTTGTGCAGTGGAAGCTTTTCCGCAAGAGTTGCTCACGCGGGAAGCAGCAAAGACACAAGAGCAGAAACTTCTCTCCTTGTTCTGGCGACAGGCTGCTTTTGGGCAGCATCTCGCTTTTTGCTTGTTGGGCTCTTGGATTGCTGTGAATTGTTTTTCTGTCGAGGGTGGGAGTCCTTCAGATCTAATCGAATGAGCCTAATGACACTTGACCTGAGGCTCACGGCTACTTACTTCTTATCCTGACTGGGATTGTGGCCTGTTGCATGTTTACGCATGGCGAAACCTAGTACAATCTTTTCTACACTGCTGGCGATATGGCAGGCGTGCATTGTTGCCTCCGCAGTAGCAGATCCTCAAGGCTTGCTGCCACGTCTTCCAGCGGAGGCCTGCTCCAGTTGCAGTCAGTATAGAAGTGGAGTTTGCGATTCTTCATTGCATGTTTGAACCGCAGCCGCTGGCGGGTAACAGTTCTCCGACAGGGGAGCCCTAGGACAGCCATGGCGGTTGAACTAGGGCACATGAAGCGATCTGTCGCTGGACACCTGCCAGCTGTCCCTGAGCCTGAGACAAAGCCTCAGCCAGAACCCCTATCCGATCTCTTCGAAATCAGGCTGGGGGTGTACCTTGAGCCGAGGAGGAAGCGCCGTCGCATTCCTCTACAACAAGTAGTGGGCGAGCTGCGAGCGGCTGGACTGTCTCAGCCCGCGCTTTCCTTCATGCAGGAAGTTGATCCTGGTCCTGTTAGTTTGTTCGTTTGGTCTTTCTCAGCGAGGCTTCACAGTAGGTTGGTGGTGACCTGTTCTTACTCAGGATAAGCGGAGCCTCAGCAGCACCAGAGAGAGAGGGTACCATGTGGTCATGTTGCCTTTTTTAACTCGTTGTCAGCGTAGAAACCAATTCATGATTTTCCTGAGCCCTGTGTCTCAAATTGCGCTTGCTGTCGTGACTGCTAAGGCGAAGACTAGAAGGGCCAGACCTCAAAGTTCTGAAGCGTGACGTGCAAGAACTAGCAGTGACGGATGCCACCAAGAGACGAGACCCGACGTGCTGGCAGGCGGTTTCAGTTCTAAAGGCAATGAGTGTTGAATGGTTACGAGTTTCGGACTTGTTTGTGAGATTAAGGACGGATAATGCCGGAGCAAGTGCCCGTTCTGAAAGTTGCAAAACGTCGCATCGCTGAAGTACGGGAGCCGGAAAGTGTGGCTCATGTGAATGCTTTGTGTTGTAAGAAAGCAGAGTAAGCAATAGGAGATCGCTTGGATTTGAGTGAGAGCACTGGACCACAGGGACTGGATGGCGAAGGTAGGTTGCTAACTTTGCTAACTGCACACTGACTTTGAGGCTGTGGCTAACTTGCTTCCTGATTGTGTGTAGGAACGCACCTTTTCATTCTCTGCACAGCCGAAGGAGCTGACGCCGCAAACTGGTGCCATCGTTCCCTTTAAGCGCCCTCATCAGTTCCAGCCGGTCCGCAGCGAATTGGTGGCACAAGCACGCACTGCTCTGCAGTAGCCAGAGCACTGCCTGATTCACTAGACCAGCAAAAGAATGCAAGATTCCGAGTTGGCTGCTTGGCTCAGGCACCAATTCTTGTGTACAGCTGCTCTTATCCGGTGCTACTGGACTTACGCAGCTGACGATGGACTCCCACGGAACCATCTTCGAGGACGACTTGCTTAAGCTTTACGAGTTCAATGATGCCAAAGCTCTGAGGAAAGTGGAAATGTAAGTGACTGCGGTATCTCGATGTTCTGACAGGTCTACGACCACGGCTTCTTGTGCCCTCCTTTGAGATGCAACGCTAAACATGCGCAATACCGCTGGGAGTGGAGCGGGCAGCTGAGGTTGACAGAGCTTCCAAGAGGGTGGCAGCCCATCGTGAACTCGTCTGGGCGTTTGGCGAGGGTTGCGAAGGTTGCGCTGGACCCGCACGGTGAACTGGCTGGAAGATGCGTTGTTGGGCATGCGGGAGGTATGTCCAGTGCTTGTCATCGTGTCATGCAAGGTACTGCCTACTTTCTGTCTGAGGGCGGCGAGCTGTTGATGATGGTGTGCTATCCTCAGCGCTGCTGCGCTCGATCATCTTAGGCCGGTTGTTGAGATCCCAGAGTCTCGCACTAGTGGCAGGTCTGCCGTGCGATATCTTGAGCGCTCCACACCTGATGATGATGAGTTGAAGCTTGAATTTGCAACCTGCTTGGATTACTTCTATCAGAAGCACGCGACGCAATACTGTCAGCATAGCTTTGACTTTGTCCCTCAAGCGTTCAGGTTGACAAAGCCAAGATTCCTGCCGATGCGCATCTGGATGCCCGCCGTAGAGAAATCATGCCTTTAGATCACAGAAAAGTATTCCATTGGCCGTAGATCCTTGCTGAAGGACCTGGACTTTGATGAAAACTTCAGCCCTTCCACCTTCGCACCATCACCTGGTGCTGAGATGACTACGGACGAAGAGGACTTTGTTCAGACCACTGCTATGACATCTTCGCCTCTGAGCTGGCCAGGCTATGGATTGGGAGGCTGTCTAGCTCAAGGCGACTTTCTCGTGGCTTGGCAGTATCCTGGCCTGATGGAGCATGGACAGAACATTGGCCTGGAAGGTGATGTAGCAGCGCTTCGATTTGAACAATTGTACAGAGCGCAGCCGAGCGCATTTTGGGGCACTTGGAGTTCGACAGCTGTTAGGTCACAAGTGCCTCAGACTTTATTCGGTGCATTGGGGGATGCTGAGACGTGGTTTTGCCAACTGAGCTTGCTAAAAGATTTGTGCCAAGACTTTGTGTTCCTAATTCTATCTCTCTACACAAACATATGCATTTGACGTGTGCATGCAGACATCCTCTTCCAATCAGTGGAAGAATCTTAGGGCACGTTTGAGACACTCTCCGTGCCTGCATGCCTGCAGTAAGTATCCAGTTCATGCGAACTATGGTCTTCTATCCGTGATGAAATCAAGCAAGCGAGAGCGTCTACTGCGCGCGATCATGATGGGGTGTGGCATGACAAAGTCAGTGGACCACTGGCTGAGCTAGTCCAGGTCCCCGGTGCCTGCGGTAGGGCAACCCATAGCATGCCATGCGCGGCAGACGCTGCATTGGCAGGAGATGTCAATTGCTAAGGGCCTCGTTCTGAGGGCTCATTTGTAGATGTCGCGTAGGGGTACTCTCAGTACCCCGGTCAAAGACCGCAAAGAGCCACTTAACCAAGCTTGACAAGAAATAATGTGGTGGTGGGCTTGCTGCTTTTTCTCCAGCACGGCATGAGATGTTTGATGGAAGTCGTAGCCTGCAGCCATCTGGGATCGGAGCGGAGAGATTTTGACCTTCTAGGAGATTGCAACAGGATGCTGCAGGATCTTGCATTTATGCGGCCTCCGCCAAAGGACCGTGATGCATGTCTCGCTGTGTTTGCGAGATATGCCTGTTTGTTTGGGTGTCTGAGGAGTACTTTACTCCAAAACAGCGGGCGATCGGTCGTGCGGTGGCTTTCCTGACCACCATCGTGCTTATTGTGCCTCTGCGCGTCTTGCAAGTCCGATGCCGCTGCTTAACGATTGAACTGTCAATGCTTCTGTTTTTGACAAGAGTGTGGTTTGTGCCAGGTGCAGCTAGGGGACGGATTCTCAGCATTGCCTGAAGTATCTGAAGTGTGTCTCCAGAACTTGCTTGCAGTCAAGCTTTCAGGAGAGCATGGACATGCCTGAGAACCCAAAGTACGCGTGAGCTCGCCCGGGCTAGGAACCCAAACCTGCAGAACTAAGTGCCGGTGCTCTGTGATTGTACTCTCCGTGGGCCGGTGTCTCACCCGCGCTTGATGTTCAAGCCTGCCGTGCTGGACGTTGCGGAACATTTGACACAGCAGACGGCCAAAGGATCGACCCTCAAAACATGGAAGAAGCCTTCTCGATTTTTCATGTCTTTGCTGAGTTTCTGACTGGTAAACATGTTTGCCTGTCGCATCCGAGCGCAGGTGCAAGATTTCCTTCTAAACCGACGGATCTTTGATCTCGTGCACGACGATGCTTCTTGGTTGCAGCTTTGGAGAAGCTGGCTTCAGCTGAACTCAGCCGGCTGTCTTTCCTAACAGTCGCCGGTCACCAACGCTGTCCGCAAGTGGGTGCGAGCCTCAGCTTGCAGCCTCAAAAAGAGAGTCCGCTTAGACGAGTACGATCATCTGAGGGCCGTGTGCAGCTATTGGCTATGCAGAAGCGACCGTCGGAAGGTTTGGGGCTGGTTTTTGCTGCAGTTTTTCCGGTTGACTTCTGCAACTGCACGACATGTAGGCGCCGTTCGCGAAATCGTACAGAGCATGGGCCCTCTGCTCAGCTAGCTGTCGGCTTCAGTCAGAGTATCCAGACATGTCCAGACGGTAGCAAATGCTTGCCGCAACGCCACCAGCGAGAAAGCACACCAGCAACTTTGTAGCAACTGGCTCCTGTGCTAAGGTCCAGAATTTGTCAACACCGTGCTTTGCAGGACGGTCCATAAGACAAGCTTGTGGCACCTCAGCTCTGCAGCTGTGACTGTGCAACAGAGAGAATGCAAAGAGGAGTTTTCTCAGCTTCTTTCCCTCCCCTCTGCAATCGTTGATGCTGCCAGCAGCTACGCGGCTTCGCTGGCTTCGCTGGGTGTGTTGCACCTGTCCGCGTGTTCTCGTGCAAGACCTTGAGAACAGCTAAGACTGGCCATACAGTGGCTGCAGCTGATGAATGCGGCTTGACATTCATACCACATGTCATCACGCTTGCCAGCTCCTTGGCCAGATGTTTCATTGCAGTGTCGGCACAGGTTTGTCCAAAGCAGGTGGCCATCCCAGGCGGGTGGAGCAGGGCCTTTGCCCTCTGGCAGGTCATTGCAGTCTTCTAGAGTAGAATCCACAGCGTTTGCAGGCCAAATAAATCGGAGGCCTGGCTTCAGCAGGCATTGGAATTCTGGATCTCTGCAAAACTAGGATGTCCCAGATGTCTTGTGGCAGGACGGGCGCCCTGATGCCCCGCCGGTGTCATGGTGCGCCCGCCCTGATTGTGTTGGATTGCTGCGCATGAAGTCTTGAAGAATGTTGGTGCAGGATAGTGCGCTTCATCCAGCAGAGAAATGAGGTGCCAGCCCAAGAGCTGTAAGAAATGACGAATTGACCAGCCACAAGTTTCCTTGTTCAGGCCAAGATTCAGAAAATCACGCAGCCCGAGCTGTTGCCGCTCGTGGTTCCCAACATCCTACCTGCCATCAGGACTGCAACATGCCAGACTAGAGAGCAGTTACGTGAAATAGTAAGCAGCTTCATTTTCAACAGACAAGGCTGTCGGCTTTCAATTGCTGGGGTCAGGACATATACCCATTCAGTGGTACGATGGCTCAAGGCGAGCCGTAGAAAGCGTCTCTTGCTTTGAACTTTTCTTGGTGAAGAGTAGAGTGCTTGGGCTACATGGGTGGCAATTGCTTGTCCGGCGTTGAAATTAAATCATATATTGGACTCCCGTGGAAATCTCTACTTGCCTTGCAGTAGAGTGGGAGGTGCTTGCTGCGACAGCCGGAACTGGTGCAGTGCCAAGTGGACCGCAGCTACTGAGTCCATAAAGTGTCGTGCAGCCTTGCAAAGATTCACTGGGGGTTAGTAGGCAAAAGAGGAACGTAACCCCGCGATAATCCCTATATAAAACATACTCCCTTGTTCCCTACTAACCCCCAGGAAGCTTGGTGTTTCTGAGTTCTGGCTCCAGGCTGTCTGGTTTCTGCTGCCCTTTTTTTCCGCGGTTGGGGAAGCAGAGCCGAACTGGCCTTCTTTTGCCCCAAATCGGGGCATGGTTATGGGGTTCCCTTAGTAAGGGTCATGGTATTTTTGGGTCTATATTGGGGTCCCCCATCTTGGGAAACTACCATCTGTTTTCTTTGCCAACAGGGTTTTCGGCTTTGGGATTTCTTGAGTCACGTCTTGGGTCTTGCTTTGGCGTGAGTCTTTCTTTTGCACCCTGGAACAACTGTCCCACCTCCCGCGCTCTTCTAGGCTCCCTCCCATCTTGTTGGATTCTGGGCATCCGGCCCTGCAACTACAAGAAGTTCCTCTAGCATCTTTACCGTCGGTTCTTCAACCACCTCTACTGCTAGATCTTTGAGTTCTGAAGCTTTGTGCGCATGTGTTCTTGTTATTCTTTCTGGCTAGGTGGCTCGTTTCTTGCTTTGTACCGTTTCTGTGGCCACAACTGGTACAACATGACCTGCAGCATCCCGATGCATATAAATTTGGATGTGTGCTTGTCCAGACATTTCTTCACTTATCTGTCAGTGCACCGATTGGCACTATTTTTTGTTTCAGACTCTTGGCTACGACTTGTATTACATGTGGTTCTATGTTGGTGAGCATCTTCATGTCGTCACTATGACCGCTGATGTTCTTGCATGACCAAATTGGCATTGGTCTGCTTCTCATCGTTACTCCCCAAAGGCTTTGTCCTGACAGCCAGGGCCCAGACCCAGACCCAGGCCTTTGGCCCCAGCAGCTATAGTTACGAGGAGAGTGTAGATTGTAGTCCTCAAAAAAAATGATCACAGTCGCAAACGTCCGCGAAGGGATGAAATACACTTGTGGAAAGCTTCCACCCCTTGTTCCGGCGACCTCGGCCAGGCATTGCTCGAGGGTTTGGCTGCTGGCGGCCTTGTGGCAAAACCCAGCGACGAAGCCGCACGCAAAGCGTCGCGTCTTGCAGCGGCTATCAGCCTGCTCAGCCCCTTGGACGGCAAAATCTTGTGATGGTTTTGGCAGTGGCAGTGCTGACACAAGTTGTCGCTTTGCAAAGGTGCAGGTGGTGCGGTTGTAGTCGCGATGTCTTGCGAGCGAGTCAGCCGGCTTCAGCAGGACGGGAGAGACTTGACAGGTGTCGAATCGAGGCAAGACGCTTGTGGCAGTATGAGTTGACGACTTGTTTCTACAGGACTTGAATACCGTCCTGCGGCCTGATCGGCGGGCTCCTCTGTTAGCGCTGCAAGCTTCACTTGTCTTGTGGTCTTTCCCCAGCTAAGGCCTTTCGAGCCAGAGCGGGAAGCATCTCCACCGAGCTCAGAGGTGAGCTGAGTCCAAGATGAAGGAGGGCCAAGCGGCCCTGATGCTTGAGGCATCAGGTTTGGTTGCTTGGCTCCCAATTCGTCAGCACAGGTCCAGATTAGGGCAAAGGCGCTGGACGGCATGCTTCGTTGTGTGTACTGCTTTAACATTGTTTGCTATCATTTTAGCACCACCAAAGACGCCACCTGTCCTGCAGCTGTTTACAGCCGACTGGTGAAGCTTGCAGGCAATTCTGTGTCTCGAAGCAGGTTGAGTCTCAAGGCGAGTGTTCTCCTGTTCAGTGTCAGCATCCGGCAGCCTCGCGACTGAAGTTCCCGCAAGGGAATCAGAAAAGGGCGAGTGAATCATGCTCTTGCTTGGCATGTCGTAGCTACGCTTCGTTTGCAGTGGAGGCAAAGCGATGCCAATGCTACAGCGTTTCTGCTGCTCAATGATGTGCTAGAACCTCGAAGCACTGTAAGGCAGCAGCCCCCACTTCGCTGTTGAAGACGCCAAGACGTTAGAGTCTCAAGATGTCTCAGGGGTTCTAGGTACAACGCTACCTGGCTGTGCTGATGGCTGACACTGGCATCGAGGATGCCTCTGAGTCTAGCGCCGGTGAAGACCCTGCTCCTCCTCCCGCCTTCACTGCGAGCCCCACTCCGTTTGAGAAAATCTCCTGTCTCTAAGCTGCACCAGGGGGCTTAGCATTGCTTGGTCAACTTTCTTTGTAAATGACCAAGAATTGGATTGAAGGGACTAGACAGGCTAAGTAGATCTGAGGGCTTGATGGGATTCTGTAACTGATATAATAATGGTCCGACCAAGAGCAGCTGAGACGTTGCAACCGCTGCTTTGACAGATGCTACATGGATGACAGGCAAGCAAGCCTGACTGGCCAGGACTACTTCGCATCCTTGCGGCCCTAACTGTAATGCAATGTGGCGAACACAGCACAAGACTTTTACTGGCCACTCGGAAGGTCCAGTCGGCAACTCAATTTGTATGTATCGTCTCGCCAAGAAGAACATGTCAACTGACGAGCACGCGTCAAGTCGCACACCTTTCCCAGCGCACGTCAGACATGAAAGGACCGTCAAAGCTGGCTGGAAGGATCGAATTTGCAACAGCGCTGTCTCCATGTCCACATGGTCAGTAAAGATGTCTTACATATTTCAATGTCAACCAACAGCCCAAGCCTCCAGGCTAAGCTGCACTGACGTACAGTTGCCGATATATGCATAGCCAAGCTGCTGGCCGCTCCGGATTCTCAAGTGGCATCGGAGCCCCTTCACATTTAATGACTCAAGCATCCCACGTGCAACTGGATCTTTTTGTCTAGGCAGTTGCGTCTCAGCCATCAGTGTCCAACAAAGACTCTCTTAGCAAGTGCCAAGGGATCTTCTGCTCAGGTCTAGGCGAGGGTGCTTTTGGAGCTGTCTGGCTTGCTCGCTGTCGAGCGAGTGGCAAGAAGGTCGCTCTCAAGGAGAGGGGAAACAGAGATCCTCAAGCAGTCAGCCCTAGAGGCATCGAGATCCAACTAAGGTTCACTTGCTTGCACTTGTTATACTTTGTGATCTATGGTTGATCTACGCATGCAAGTGTCCTTGTTCTCGAAGGTGGCATTGCCTAAATTAGACCTTTGCATACTCCGTGTTTAGGCATCCCTATTTTGATTTAATGCCTGGCCATCAGTCTACAGTGCTACAGCATGACACAGGGGTGTGGCAAATCCAGCCGTGCACATCAGGAATCTGTTGCATGGGTAGAGGAAGACATGACAGACCTCTGAAGCTTGAGCTGCACCAGCACCAGCGAACAGGAAGTTCCACGACACCTGGCAGATCCTTTACTGCTGCGCCCAGAACGAGATGTGCTTCATGAGGCGCTGTGGTTTTAACTGAAGCTCAGGCGTATCTGCCTCCTTGCAAAAGGCATCTTTAAGTGTCGAATCTCCGGTAGTGGTGAGGTTTGATCAGATGGCTTTGCATGCATCATAGCGCAGGTGGCTGCGTCCAAAGAGAACGGGACATGGGTCAGCTCTGCTCTGACCGCACTTGTGGCATCCTTCACAACCTCGTTTGCTATATGCCTTGCAATGGATTTGGTAGAAGGTGCCCACTTGATGGAGCATCTTCGCGCAGCACAGGGCCATCTACCTGAGCCACAAGCAAAGTGGTACGCTGCGGAGATCGCCTGTGCACTGCGTTGGTTGCACTCAGCGGGTTGGTTGTACAGAGACTTAAAACTGACAAATGTCATGGTTTCACTGTCAGAGGAGTCTTATGGGCGGGTGAAGTTGATCGATTATGGATTTGCCTTTCGTGGTGTTTGGTGTGACAAAGCTGTCGGCACATTACGAACAATGGCGCCGGAGGTTATTTGCTGTGCAGACTCCGAATGGCTGGAACACCTGAAGTCTGCATGCCCGGCTTTGACAACCCTGACCGGCTACGGCCCAGCTGCGGATTGGTGGTCTTTGGGAGTTGTTCTCTTTGAGCTCCTGGCCGGGATACCGCCTTTTGGATACCGAGATGACCTTGTTCTGGAAGGCTTCCAGGCCTTGCAAGCTCAGCTCTGCACGCCTTGTCTGCCATGGCCTGAAACTTGTGCCGCAAGTCTCTCGTCAGCATCAGGCTGCTAGGAAATGTGTTTCGAAGGATGTGTACTGGAATCTGACAATCTGACAGTTGAGCGGGGGGGGGGGAGTTGCTACAGTCTTTGACGGAAAGAGGATGGGCAGGTTAGTCTCACGTTACTGCTGCAACAAAAAATTCTCGTGGTCTTGACATGCGCGATTGCGTCTGGATTTCCGCTGTTGCTCTCCTTCTCGAACAGTCACTGGCCTTCCATTTGTGCTCAAGTTCTACTTTGTGCTGAAGCCATCAGCCAAATGCCAGCATCACTTACAGTGTCTTTTCAAGATTTGTTCCGGTTCTGGGATTGTGGAGATGTTGGTTGCTGGAGTTTTTGCATGTCAAAGGTTGGAAGCAGCTGGCTTCAATTAGGGCTCAAATTCAGCCTTCCTGTCAGGCCTGAATCATGGGGAGCCGCTACAAATCTTCACAAGCTTTCTCAATTGGTCTCACATTTTCCTGGACTGCCACCTCCTGCCCACTTTACCCTACTCCATGCCTGCCGCGTCTGGTACTAGTACGCGCTTTGCAGAATGTTATGCTAGAAGTTGCTGGCCACGCAACTTCACGTGAGGTGATGCAGCCAAAGATGCTGCCAACTCTTTCTGTCAGATAAATCCTACAGACCGACTTGGATCTGCTGACGTACGTCACTTTGAGTTCTTTGCGTCGGTCGACTGGCCTGCAGTTGACTCGCAAGGGATGCAAGGCGCGCAACAGGAACGCACAGACCTGCCATTGTTCCCACGTGGTGTTCCATGGTAAGTGTTGCTGCGAGGACCTGTCTTCGACACCACCTTGGGGCACACAGCAGAATCCGCAGCTGCGGATCCCTGCCGACCAAGACGTGGGGCATTGCCGGTGGCCTGTGAGGACTCCGCAAGAGTTGCAAAGGTTCAGCAGACGCCACACATTCTCATCTTTCAGGATCCAGATCCTTTTGCTGACTGGTGATGCGACTTTCCTAGTGTTAGATATCCAGCTGACGATACTGCTGCGCCTGTGCGGATGTGTTTTCCGGTGCATAGCCATCGGCTGATGCTCCATCTGCGGAATCGGATCTTTGCACCATTTGCCACATGCGAGTGCAGCTGAGCAAAGCAAAGCGAAACTAAGTGAGTGCGGTTTGGTGATGTTTGGAGATTGTTGATATGGCTGTCTCTTGTGTTGGTTCGGCTCAGAGCTCCAATGCTATAGCATAGTGTAGCTTGTTGGGGGTCCCTGTGGGGAGGGCATTGCCCAGGGTAAAGGCAGATGAGAGCGCTGCCTCGTGCGCTCGTTAGCATTCTGTCCGGGTACATCGCACTGTCTGCAGTGAACTGCTTCACTGCCAATTTCAACAATGCACGCAGAGCCCGGGACTCCGGATACTTGGCTGGACAAGCTCCAGGTTCACGCCATGGACTGCCCACGAGGGCAGTGGCTGAAGCTGAAACCCTTACCGTGCAGAAGCCGACAGCTGCCGACGACAGCGTAGTTGTTCAGCGAGCGAAGACAGAGGTTACAGACATCGCTGGTTTAGCAAAGGGTAGACCAGTGGAAAACCGGAAGTTAAGAGCTGCCATAGACTCCATTGAGTTGGATCAGGAGGCGCTGCGCATGTCTACCCCGTTGCTTTCCATCAAAACGATTCTGGCAACAGGTTCTGCGGCCGGACTGTCTGCCCTGGCAACACTTGCAGCTGCTTCCCCAGAATTATTTGTATGGGTGCCTCCGCTGACAACGTTGATCTTTTTGTATTCATCTTTGTCGGAGAGTTCGGCCGCCAGATACCGGGCAAAGGCAAAGTATAATTATGGACAGTCCTCCAGACTCGCAGCCTTGGCGGAGTCGAGCCTGGCTGCAGCAGAAGCCCGAAAGGTCTTCTTCCCTTTCGGTGTCGGCCTGACGGCAATCACAGCTGCAGCCTGCGTGAGTTTGAGGATCTTCAACGAGAAAATCGGCGATTTCTTGCCTGAAGGAGAATCCTTCTCCACCCTGCTTGCAGGGGACAACGTTATCCTCATTTTGCTTGCGTTAGCTTCGGCAGTTGGGGCTTCCCTCACAAGCCTGACTTACGTACCTGCCCCAGTAAACGGATCATCGTTTTGCTTGCCTGCAAGCTGTTCAAATTCGTCGACCCTGGTCCCAGGTCTCGACACGTGCTGCACTGGTGCTGGAAGAAAACATTCAAAATAGTGCCCAGAGTGATTGGGAGGCAGGCCGCCTTCCCAAAAGGGCCAAGGAGCCAACAAAGGAGGCCGGATGTAAGCGGATGAGAAAATTAGTGCAGATGAGCACAGCGATGAAGCTTTGGCATTGGAGGATGAGAGAAATGTGGTCCTTGCCACCATTTTCTTCTGCCTCGTGCCCATTCCTTTCATCGTGCCTTGGAGCAGCAGGTTAAATTTGTAGTGCTCCCCGCGCATGACTACCCTATTTGCACGCAGCTCGAGAAATTCACGTAGAAGAGGGGGTCAGTGACTCGGAGAAGAGAAAGAGCACAAAGTATAGGGGATAGCTTCAAGAAGGGGACGTTATTAGTTGCAGGCATGAAGCCGTGTGGAGTGAGAGCATTGGAGATAGTAGAAAGTACTTTCAATGGGTGCAGGCTGGCAACTAAGCTATGGACTAGCTACACTTTTTCTGACCTGCCCTGTCATTGCCTCTGAAACCGTGGGGATGAAAATGTGAGACAAACAAAGATTCGCAGAAGTAAGCGCACGGATCAAAGTTTGAAATGCACGCAGCCCATCAGCCATCCGCAAAATTGGCAGCTTCACAGGTGTCCAGTCCTGCACAGACAGAGATGAAGCGCCAGAAAGGGTGGCTCAGGTATTTGACTGCCATCATGGTTTCAGAGCTAAAGTGTACAAGCAAGCAACAGACCGCAGATACTTCTGCAAGTCTAGTTCAAGTACCCCATCAAATGCCCCTCAACATGTGCTTGACAGGGACTTTGAAAGAGGTAGACGGGTGGAAGAGCAAGTCACGAGGTGCCCGGGGTGGACTTTGGCCTCGTCGAATGCTTAGCATTTTGTGCCTGCTGCAGTCCTTTCAAGCATGCTTGAGCTCGGACACTTGCAATGAGGCAACGACAAACCCAATTCTCTTCAACAAGGACACATGCTGTCTTTTCCGTATGATTTGAAATGGTTTGCCGTCCGCGATGGTCCTGGAGCAGATGATGCGACATGGGATCAGTAGGAATGGATATGTTGCCCACGAAGCACATTGTCTGCATTGCAGGGGCTACAGCAACTCCTGGATGATGCGTCCGTCGTCATTTCAGCATCTGCTGCTGCTCAGGCAATTTCCAGCTCTGCATAGCATCGCCTATTCCTGCTGCATGCGTTTGAGGGAGGGAACGCAAGAAATGTTCAAAGCCTTGCTTGCTTTGCTGCTTGCTTGTGAATAGAAATTGTGTCCAGAGGCTGCTGTTGCCTTCCTGCTCGGTGAGAAGGACTTCACGGATGCCGAGCAGCGGTGTGCGATGCAATCGAAGCAGGTGGAAGAAGGTTCATCAGAAGAAGTCAGGCTTCGCCACTGGCTGGCCAGGCAGCACTGTCCGAGATGTTCCTTGCCCAAGCTCAGCAGGAGGCGGCTATCATCCCCGCCACTTAGCAGCTAGCACACCTGCTCCGAAATCCATCAAAATCATACTGCCATGTGGCATCGCTGAGGTCCGAAGTGCTATGTCCGCCGCAGCGCGCGGCGCAGCAGATCTGGTCGTCGACACTTTGTCTGTGAGATGTGCTTTAGTTTACCTGTTGTAAAACGTTCGAACGGAGTTTGAACGGAAGCTGTGCCTGAGGAATTTTCACGGCTTGCTGCAATTCTTTTCCCATGGGGATCTGTGCAGCAAGCATTTCAGTCCATTTTGAGTCTTGGCTCGGCATGTATTTTTTGCTAGCTTGCCATCGAATTCCTTCCTTGTGGCATGCATGGTGTTTCGCAGCTCAGGAACACAAAGCTTGTGCGAGTAGAATCCAATGCAGCAACGAATGAAGCCAGGATGGTGAAATATGGTCCCAAAGTGACGCGGAACCGCAACGCCATAGACTCATCCCTGATTGAGTTCGGCCGATTGCAGAAGGAGGTCTTCCCATCTGACAGTGAAATGCGGGATGAGATTTTCGCGCTGAAAGTCGGAGAGAAGAAGACATTCAAGATCCGGTCCAAGGAGGGCCGCCGAGAGGCGGGAGCCAGCGAGCCCGATTCGCAGACCTGGGTCATTCTGCATCCTTGGAGGTACACCTGGTCGCTGCCGAGCTTGGCATGGTCTCTCAGTCAAAGACTGAGGGCAATCAGAGAGACCTGGATGAAAGTAACGCCTTCCAAGAATTCAGTACGACATAGCCTGATGCACGGAGGGTGTATTTCTTTGCTCAGGAGTGGTAGAAGTCAGAAACATGGGCAAAAACGTGGCTGTTTCCGTGCCTTGGCTCTACGATTTCTCCTTTTGGGGGCATCCGTCGACCTTCTCGATGCTGTAATCCTTGTGCCGTGCCCATTCCATAGTTCACGACATGAGAGTGGACGTCTTGCGAATCCCGAGTCACGAAAGCTAGCGGAGCTAGGCTTGAGTAACAGGGGCACAGAAGGTCTGGAAGGCGCGAGCCATTGATTCTATCAGTATCACAATTTGAGGCTGGTGGGCCAATGAGTATTGATTGCTGCGAAGAAAGCTAAGCTTTTGGCAGCAGGGTCTTTTGGCGGAGGGGTGGGGAGGCGAGCTGCGCAACTAGCTACTACAGAAGAAAGCAGCCTAGGTAGGGCGAGGGAGATCGAAATCGATGCATCAAGGGATCTCTATTCATAGATCTGCCCATGGAGTGGGTGATTTATCAGGGGATCTTGGATTAGATCTTTAGGTTGGACACTAGGGTTTGGGGAGCCCTTGCCAGGGACAAATAGCATCTATATTGTTTTTCGGGGATACGTATGGATCATTTATGTATCTGGAATTACATATACATGTGTTACATATTGCTTGCACTTACTAGTAATTTTGGGTCCGACTTGAGTTCCACCCTACACCCTCTGAACTTATCGACGCCTACTGCGCTCACTACATTTACATGGCCATGGTACGAATAGCATCATGCCTGGTGTTTGCCTGGAAACTGTCTTTGCAGTGCTCACTTCTTTTGCATGCTCATGGTACGAATAACATCATGGAGGTTGCGTGTGATCTCCTTTCATTGCTCCTCCTCCTGCTCCCGTCTCCTCCTGCAGTGACGTGCTGAAGACCTGGCTAGCTTTGGTGGGCCTTGGCTTGGCCCCCAATTCGTCTCATGTTCGGACTTTGCAGGATGAGGAGAGGACGTCACTTGCCGAAGCACTTGTGGTTGACGTAGTGGAGCCAGTCAAGAAGGCAGCTCGGCAGTGTTTTCTGTAATGGGATGCCTTGTTCGCATGCAGCTGATGCCAGGAAGCACAGATTGGCATTGCAGAAGGGATTCCGGAAGAGTGGTCCCCGTGGATCTCATCTGCCGCAGCGGCTGCCGCAAGTGTGCAGGCTTCGGATGGGGGTCTGCTGTCCTTGCTTGTCCCTATCTGATTCCTGGTGGTTGGGTGTCTGGTGCCTTTCCGGCTGCATGCTGTCAGGCGGCTCCAGCAGTTCTGGGAGCCGATGCTTCCCAGGTTGTGCTGCCTCTGGTTACCGGCGGTATTGGTCTCCTCACAGTTTTTCGGCAGCTTTAAAATAGTAACTTTAGTAGTATGTCTGAGTAGAGTAAGTGAACACTACGGAATCGGGCCATGAGGACCGCTTTGCCCTGCTCCTAGCCACAAGCAGTCCACAAGCCAACAGCTCAGGTTTGGCAAGAGCGAGTCGGTTGGCAACCAAGATCCACACCGACATAGAGTGGTAGAACCCGGCAGGGCCTAGCTCCCCAGCATCTGCGAAACTTAGGTAGAGAACAAGTGGCCTACGCAAAGAAGGATGCTGCGCTGCTTCAGCAGCGTCACGTTGGGAACTCAGCGTGTGCTGTCGCTTGCTGATATAATACGAGTTCTTGCCTGATTAGAGCTTGTGAACGGCTGGACGAGATAGGCCGAATGCGAAGCTTTGTGTGGACTTGCGGCCCTCTCAGCCTCCGTTCCTTGGCACTGGAAAGACAACAGCACTTGTCACTGTATCTAGAAAATCAGGGTTACGCAGCGAGCATCCATGCGTCGCATCACACATGCAATCCCGCCGAAGCAGAGGCATTGCCGACATTCGTGGCAATTGCTGCAGTGGCCGGCGGAGTGGACTCTCGGATTTGACTGAAGCTGTTTTCTTTCGATTCGCGCCAAGATTTGTTTTGGTCTTTGACATGCTCATAGGACTTTTTAAGTTGAGGGTTCAAAATCATTAGCCTAGCCATCATGTGCAGAGACATGCCGGAAGACCAACTGGAAGACCTCGTTTGTTCCTGTTCGAAGCTTGCACAGCCAGTCCAGTAGCACCCGCCTGACTAACCTTCTGTCCTTCTGCATGCCCCAGCCAGGCGGCTGTTGGTTTCCTTGGCGGCTTTACAGGTGCCATTGGCTGGGCCTGTGAAATGCCAACTCTCTTCATCTCTATGCTGACACTCATTCTGGCGTTGGAGCGTCAGGACAGACAAGAGATTGTTTTCTCTTGTGCCAATCGTTCCAGAAAGCAATTCCCGTAAGTTCATTCTGGGACCCCGTTGGAAAGTTGATTCTCAGCTGAAGGACATGTCAGACTTGAGAGGGTGATGCACGGATTGCATAAAGCACACCTGTCTAGCTCCAGGGCTTGAAGCATCTTGAAGGAGCAAGTGGAGAAGTACATCCTCGGTGCTGCGAGGATCGTGGGTGGCCAGCCGCCAGTCAAGGCTCGACTTCGCGCACAGCGCCTGTGGCTCCTCATCCCTGTCCTCGTGATGCTCCTGCCGGAGACATTGATCCGGCGCTGCTGCGCCGCCAATGCACTCATCACCGCAGAGTTGGGCTTCGTCCTGGCAAACTGTGCGCGCCAGCTATCCTTTGGTGAGTATTATGCCGCTCGTACCCGCCGCGTGCATTCCAGGACGGATGCGTGGGCGCAAGTCGCCACAGCCTGCTCGCGAAGCCTGCCGCTGACAAGCGCCTTGGCCTTGACAAACACACTGATCTCGACCACCCTGGGGGCTGTCCCCGTGTCCTTCGGTGGCATTTTCCCGATTTTTGGCCTGGCGGTGTGTGTCAGGGCTATTCAGAAGGCTGTCGAGTCCCGAGCGAGTGCGGTCCTAACACGGCAAGAGGGCCAGGATGCTCAGAAGCTTGGCAACACGTTCCCTCCCTATGCAGCAGTGGAGCCACAGGACCCAGCATACAGCATTAAAATGCATGAGGCTCAGATTCAATCAGATCACTGTGGTGTTTGCAAGCTGGCAGGAAGAGGACGCGGGCATCTCAACTCCAACAGTGGCAAAGAGGATTCGAGAGGATCTGAAGCTGCTCACTTAAACAGTTTGTTTGCCAGCGCCAGAGTCGCGAGCTTAGCCTCTCAGGCTGCTCGCACCCAACAAGCTGCGTGCGGCCTTGGGCAAACTGGCCAAAGGCCGCCGGCCTGCTGAACATGTGTTGGACTTGTAGGCTGCTGATTCGTTCTTCTCCTATTGGTTGAGCAGCTCACGCTCTTGCAACTCTTGCAGGCTTCCTGCGGATTTTCTCTGAGACCAAGCCAGAGCAGGAATTCTCTCAAACTGTGGATGCCAAAGTCGTCAAGCGAGTGCAAGCAGACCTCGAAGAGCTACGCGTAACTGTCCGTGGCAATGAGCAGGGCTGGCTCCGTGTTGGGTCGGCGTCTTGATTGCACATCTTCCTCTAGAGCAAGCTTGGCATTGTAAGATTTCTGTCCTTATTGCAAAGCAATGCCTTGTGGTTGCTGCGAGGTGGTGGGGATCTTGACTGGCGCATCAATCCTGGCCCCATTCTTGCTCTCGGAGCTCCTAACAGAGGTCATCGTGCCATTGGCGGGCACCGTTCTGACAGTCTTCGTCGTCTTTGCTGAGAGTGAAGCGAGGTCGCGCTGCCTGAGAGTATTGCTCGTCAGAGAGCGTGCACGGAATGTGAGGGCTGAGGGCTCATTGAGAACTGTGATCACGACAGATCGTCTACAAAGGCTCAAAGCTGCAGAGTTCAGGTAATCAGCGCAGGGGGGGACTTCTGCCAGCAATGGAGCTAGAAAAGCCCTTTGAGTGACCAGTTGAAGCAAGTCCGAGCAGTCCAAAGTCATGATCTGATCAGACACCACGAGTACATTTTCTTGTTCCCCGCATGTTTGTGCTGACCTGACAGGTCCTCAGTTGCGCAGGCCAAGGTGCGCGCGGCGCAGATGAACGAACAGATGTCCACCATGGAGGACAGACTACTCATAGTTTCATATTTGACAACTTGGTTGCAAATCTAAACCGGACTGGCAGGAGCTCCTCAGCATCAGCTCGCTCTGGAAGTCTTACCTTATGGCCATGGTGGGCATTGCTGACTGCAATGCCGTGCTGGCCACTCGCACCTTTTCAGGTCTCCTGCAAGAATTCTGTGCGTCGTCAACCAGATGGAAATGCATTTCAAGAACCTTGTTCTCCTGTGCAACTGCCTCTGGGCACCAAGGGCTTGGTCCTTCACTCCAAATGGAATGTCATAAAGCTGAAGCTTGGCACAACTGCATTGCAAGCGATTTATTTTACATGTTGCTTCCCAAGCCCTTTAAACTGCGAGCATCGCCACTTGAAACTTATGTTTTTATCGTCACTTGTCTCGACATTGCCATGCAAGGCTTGTGTTAGACTGACAGAGATGCTCCATCAAAGGGAGATCGGGACCTCCTTGGCAGAGTCAGCACAGGGTGGTTAGTGCTGCATAGCAAGCCTGAGACGTTGCTGATGCACAAGTTGCTTACGTATCCCTCAAGTGACTACAAGGCTTGGTACAGGCCAAGGAGCACCTATGCATCTGTTTTCTGTGTAGGGAGGAGGAGAGGGGGAAGGCACAAAAAGGTTGACAGTTGGCAAGAGAAGGCCCAATACCGCAGGCATGAAGCCAAGGCATCCGGCGCTGACCCACCTGCAAGATGGAGCGCAGCTACTTGTCGCTTTGTCATCCATTGTCATCACAGCACTGGCCGCACGGCGAATGCTCCAAGTCCGAGAATGGGCGCAGAGCCTGGAGTGTCTTTGCCAGCGATGAATGTAGAAAGAAAGTCGGAGGGGTTAAGATGATGTAAAGCGAGCCTGTGTATGGTAGAAGGTTGGTGAACAAGGGCATGCAGGTGAGCGCAGCTTAGGAAAATTGCTGCAGACAACTTCAACGAAAGAATGCTTGGAGGTGTTCAACAAACTGATCCCATGGCTGTGGATGCCGGTGGTGGCGTCTACCCTTTGTCCAAGCGGCAGACACCAGACTTCACATGTTTTGAGGTAGAGGGTGTGACCTCAGAAGCAAGCCATTGGCAGTTTCTACGCAAAGCTTGCCAGATGGCAGAAAACTGCAGCTGTGGTCTAGCGCCATCGTGAAAGCATGCATGTTTCTTGCGAGGAAGTTATTCGTTATGCTTGCGGCGGTGTTGCCTCCGTTATTGCTGCCTGGCCGCGATACACGAACCCTGTATAGGCCAAGCCATGCCGCACTACGTGAAAAGTACGTGACATGAAAGGTTGCTCGTCTTCCCGCTTGGTGCAGAGCTTGGCGAGAAATGCGTAGATGCAAGCGGGGCAGCCGCCCTGGTGCTATCCTCAGCATCGCTGTTCATAGGTTGTTCATTTCTGGTGTGCCGCATGCCACATGTTTGGAGTCAACGACAGCACTTCTGTGGATGGCACTGCAGCGCAGCTTTCCAAGGTCGTGGCATTGACCGTGGTCCAGGCTGAGCGGGCATCTTGCAGGGCGGAACGAACTCAAGCCTCCTGCAAGTGGCTTGGATAAGACTGCGCTGATTGATACTTTGCGCTTCATGGTGCGCGCAGGTCTAAAGCATAGCCACCTTTCTTAGCAGGCTCTGCATCGAAGCATATAGAGTTAAGTAATCATTGCTTGTTACTGAGCTGATGCCAGCAACACTTGGCTTAGCAATGATATGGCCGCTCCTTGCTATCCAAGGCGTGCGGCCTCCCTGTGCGAAGCATTTGCCAACCGAGCGGAGCAGCAAGGCACATCTTCATCTTGTACAAGCTAATTCAATCCACCTCCCAAGCGTCATTATGTTGCGCCAAGCGCAGGTGCCTTGTTGCCGTTCAACTCAGCTGCCGCCATCGCGATTGCAGGTGTGATCACGCAGCTTGGCAGACTTTTGGTCTCGATCTGTCCAAACAGAATGGCTGTCAGACTCTTCAGTGTGTCCTCAGGTTCTTAACAGAGCTGAACCCCGTCACCGCAGCAGCCTTGACTGTATTCCAGGCTTCAGACTCAGCTTTGGCAGGTGGCAGCAACAAGCTTTTCTTGGCATCATCTTGTCAAAACGGCACGACGCCCTATGCACCTTGCGAGGCCATGAGCTGGGTGATCGCATCACGAAAAGGAGTCGCGGCGAAGTTTGAGAGCCGTGCAAGCTTGCAGGCCAGAATGCGTTTGTCGTTTGTCAGAGATGCTCTACATGTTGCAGATCAGTAAAGACCTGATGATCATTGCTTGCGAAGGTGCGCTCTCGCTTCTCCTTGCGCGGCGTGTCGGCAGCCACTGGCACCATTGGGCAACGCTTCAAGAGCTTCATCATCGGCTGATCAATCGCAATATACAGACGTAATTAGCTCTGCACTGCAGATGGAAAAATAAAGCGGAAAGACCGCCTGACCAGCAAGTGGTCCTCCGCAGGCGTTTTGTCGCCTGGAAAGCGCTTGACGCTTAGCATATCGTTTACATATGGAATCCCTCCGAGCTGTTCCTGACAAGATGCATGAGAACAGGTAGTTGAAATCAAAATGGAACCAGTTTGGGAGATTTGGACTCGTCTCCAGTCTTCAAAGGAGGCTGAGCCACCACCTGCAGCTCTGAAAGCTGGGATGAAGTAGTGGGATGTAGAGGGACTGCAGGTTGGGCAGCTACTGCCTACTGCGACTTTCAGGCTTTCCGGGGCTGCATTCTTTGGAGCTCTTTTGGACAGCTCCGTTGCATCTCTTCATTGTCATATTCAACCGATTTTCGATCAATTAGCTGGCATTAGCTTGAATTTCTCCAGGGCAAGGGAGGCAGAAGCCAAGTGCATGCCGAGGTTGCCCGACAAGAGCCGTTTCCAGGAACCTGGACGTGGCGTGAATTTTTTCAACGGTTCCTGCATAGATAATATGTGGGCTCAAGACCCTGCCCTACTTGGTGACGAAAGGTGCCCAGTCTCTGCGCTGGAGCATGCTAAGGACGAACATGAGGCACATTGAGGCAGTCTTTGTGGAAGCTGGAGTGCCAGGCAGCAGATGGTTCATAGTTCTCGGACATGATATTCTGGTGTCAGACAAGCAAAGTACGTGTGCGCTGATGCATCAGCAGCAAAGTGTAGCTCCTCAGCTTCAGTTTCCCACGTCGAAGCCGCTTGATTTCCTCGACATGTCGTGAAATGTTCTCTGATGGCGACTGCCTGGCCCCAAGCTGTCGCCTGGGCATCCCTTTCCTTGGCATTCTGGCAGTACTTCTAATTGTAAGCGCCAGTGCGCGACCGCCTTGGCAGCCGGGCTGGCAAGGAGGCCAAGACGACGTCGCAAAGCAGGTAAGTCTTACAAAGTAAGAAGAGTCTGGCAAGGCTTGGGGCGAGAGGGGCTGGGAAAAAGGGAAAGGGCAAAAACTAGCTAGCGTGGCCCCCGAGCCCCCTGACTAGAATCCTGGATACTCGGGGCGAGGGTTGCGCGATTTCACTTTGGGGTGGGGGAAAAGAGAGAAGGCTGGATCCCTATCAGCTTGTTCCAGACGCCTGTCGGCCAGATGCCGAGGCGAATAGCAGCTTGTACTCTGTACCGGAGAGTTTTGTTCTTCTGATCAATATTGTCAGGCTGGGCGGCAAGATGAGGAGGAGGGGAGCGCCAACTTAAGAGTACATGGTTTTGACATGCTCCGTGCTTTTGCTGAACAAGCTCTTGTCCATATCGTTGCATCCAGGGGGCAGCATTCGGCCGAGCGAAGCAAGAATCAAACCCAGATCTTCCCATTTCCAATAGTCCTTGGCGGCAGGATTGTCTGCAGTTTCTGTCAGAGCAGTCGAAGCCCGGTGGCAATGGTCTGGTGGCCCTGGGTCCCAAGCAGGCCTGGGACGACACACGTACCGCATCTGTTGCAAGGGCAGTGTCTGACATGTTTCAAGACGGGGAAACTTGGCTCAACTGGCTTGATGCAGGTGCTAGGCCTTGTTAGGGGGTTTGGTTTTCCTTTTCCTGGTGCCCTTCTAGATGCCGCGTACTCACACAGGGGAGTGCAAGTGCAGATGTAGCGACCTCCCCGCGCCCGTGCGCCATGGGCCGGCGGCACGGCCAGTGCGATGTTCGTGCCTTACTCACACACTTGCTGCTCAGTTCCTTCCACATCTATTTGAGCCGTAGATGAGGTCGTGGTCCAAGCAGGTGTGTCCCAAGCAATGCAGATCTCCACGTGGGCGTCTAAGGGATTGATACGGCCACCAGCATAGAGTCATGAGCCTTGGCCGGTCATGAGGTCGAAGCTTTCCAAGTAAATGCCAGCACAACGAAGAGGGCCAAAAGCCTGAAGCAGATGTGTGAGATTAGCAATTAGGTATGAGGTGGCGTGAGATGCAAGGCCGCACCATTGGTCTTGCAGCACAGCGGCGGCAGCAGCAGCAGCTTTGCAAAACGTGAAGTGTGGACTTGCCATGATGGCAACTAATGCTCCAACCTAACCTAACCTGGACACCAGTGGCAATGCCAAAGTCAACATGCTTCTGGTAGGAGTGCTTTGTCTCGGATAACACAAGTGAACATCTCCCACCCAGCATGTCCCATCACCGCCGCCGCCACCGCCGCCACCACCGCCACCACCACGACCACCGCTGCCGCTGCCCCCACCACCACCACCGCCGCCGCCACCACCACCACCACCCCCACCACCACCACCACCACCACCCCCACCCCCACCACCGCCGCCGCCGCCGCAGCCACCACCACCACCATCATTGGTGAAGCTCGCCGGCCTTTCACTTCTGTGCCAAGCAAGCAGGCTGTTCCCAAAATGCAGGCTCCATTTTCCTGCGCACAATACAAAATTGTCATGCATGAAGAGTGGTGGGGAGAAAGTTTGAGTAGTTTCATTTCGGGCAAGTCTGTCGGCGTGAGAAGATGCGGAGAGGTTGCTAGGATTTGGGACGAACCTCCGCTACAGCAGGGAGATTGTGATCAGTTGTGACCACTGATTCTGGTGGCTGAAGGGCACCATGCGTCCCTGGCTTCTTGTCGGTTTTGCAACTTTGTGCGTGGCGAGTGCAAATCGTCAGGGCTTTACTTCAAATGCTGCTGACAGATGCAGAGTTTCCTTGGCCCATGTTCAAGCCACAAGCTGTAGTTTAGGATGGGGTTGACCTCAATGTGCAAAAATTGTCTTGCCTTCGCAGAGCTGATCGACTATCTCATGAAATTTGCATTGAACCTGAGCGCTCAGGCGCTCGCAGCAACCGACGGTCTGACAGCAACTTGATAGCAGTGAGCAACCGAACCTTGCGGCGAGGCTAGGTACATGTTGAATTCGGATGCTGGAGCTAGGTGTTGTGACCTTGTCATCGCTTTTTTGAGTTGGGCTCACCAGCCTGTGGATGCCATGGAGCAAGCCTCACCAGGGCATGAGCGTGGAGTTGAAGATCGGCCACCGTTTCAGTTCTTGGCCGTGTCCCGCCACACAGAGCGGGCTGATGATGTCGGGGCGCTGTTCCACGGAGTCCCTTGGTGCCTCATGCAGGATTCGAAGCAGTGGCCGTACGACCCGCCGCTCAGCGATACTGGCCTTGTCGAAGCCGAGGAACTTGGGGAGAAACTCCACAGAGTTGTAGGCGAACTGGGTGCAGAGCTTCACGTTGTCATCACATCGCCGTACCTTCGTTGTGTTCAGACAGCAGCCCACATATGCAAAGCCTTTGGAAAAGGAACCAAGCTTCTTCTTGACAACACACTCAGCGAGATCTATGGGCCATGCATCATGGGAGATGAAGAGCCGACAAACCCAGTGCGGCCACTTCAGCAGAGCCTTGACTTTTGCTCGGCCCAAGGGGTGAATTTGGAGGTGCGCAAGATTCTTGGACAATGGCCGCCATGGCCAGAGACCTTGAAAAGTGCCCGGCAGCGATTTGCGGCCAGGTTTGTGGACTACGTGAAACGCGGATATACCATGCGCCGAAACTTCCTGCTTGTGTCTCACGCTGACTGTGTGGGAGGAGCGCTGACTCTCATTCCGTGCGGGACATCCAGACACAATGTAGAGAAAGTCAATTTTGGCGGACACTTTTTGGTGCTTAGTCCCCCGCAGCTCAGACCTCCCAGCGTCGAAAGCGCGTCAGAAGTGGACCCAGCACAGCAACTTGAAAGAGCAGCCGCTGCTGCCGTCCGGCGCATGGCGGTGCTGCATCCCGACAAGCATTGGGTACCAGATGCTAGCACGCAGACCCACCACTTTCGACCAGGATGCATGAGGAGCTGTGCGTCTGTAAGAAGCTCAGCTTGGCTGTTTTCAACGTGTGGCGGCCTTTGAGGAGCCGCGGTGCTGCTTGGGTTCGCCGAGAGGCAGCGTGCTGAAATTCTTCTGTGCTTTGCAGGAGCCTGTGTGCCATATTCCTGTGCTTTAGGAGGCGCTACAGGCGGTACGAGCCAAGAAGGAGTGGTCAATTCTGCAAGGCCCTGCAGCCACAACATCAGCTCAGCAGTCTAATGCATGTTTGCGAGCTCTACAGGCTACGAAGAAGTCTACATGGATGTCAGCGATCTGGGGAACGAAGACATGGGTGGGGAGCCACGGGGGAAACATGAAGGCAGGCAGCGAACAGGCTCTGTGACTTGCAAACGCCAGGCGCTGGTATGTCTCTCGGAAATGGATGGTTTTTGCAGCACGACACCTAGTCTCCTAGTCCTAGGGCATTGCTGTCAGCTGGTCAGGGTTTTTGTGTCTGTCTGCCTGAGCTGGGCATTGCATGCGGCTCACGTGGCTGAGGACCTCGGGCATCTTGCTCCGTGGGAAACGCAAGAGCCTAGCTACCGCAAGAGGCTCTGTCACAGATGCAGAGGAGGTGCGAGGGAAGTGGTGAGGAAGTGGTGGGGAAGTGGTGGGTACTGTTCCTGTTGGACGAAGGATGCCGATGCTTGTGTGATTTTTTGTCTGGTCTGTGCGCATCGGGTGGCGTGCATGAGACAGCTTTAGTACCAGAATTATACAAGATTGTTTCAGGTTGTTTTTCTGATGCGACGGGCTTTCAAAAACGGAGCCTGACACTTTTTTTTTTGCTGTGCTCAAGGCATTGTTCTTTAGTCTCTGATTTTGTTTTGGACTGCATTTCCCACCACATCTACCACCACCGCCACTGCCCCCGCCAGCATCAAAAAACAATTCATTCCCGCCCACTGAAGAGCCCACACAATCTGATGTTTGGGCATCGCAGGTTGTGAGGGACTGGGGCATTCCCTTGCTGATTCCGTCTGAAGACGAGAGTCAGAGGCCGGCTGATCACGTGTTAGACATTCCTTGGTGCGGTTGCAGCATGTTCCGCATCCATGGATCTGCACCGCAGCACCTTCAAGGTTGCCGCAGC